TATATATATATATATTATGGGTTTACGACTGCTAATGTTCAACTTCGTAGCCTCGTAATTTTAACCCCAATCCAGAAGACATTGGAACTCCTGGATCAAGTATTGGGAGAAATTTGCTTTCGTGGAGGACTTTTTGATCGAGATAACCCGCATTTGCGTTGCATGGGGAGGAAGACCACGAGAACCTCCCACGATTAGCCTGATGGCAAGGGGACTCTTACCCATGATCCGTCTACCACTGAGGATATTTCACGTCAGCACTGTGGTCGGTGCAAGCTGAATACGGAATTGGTATCGACTGGGATTCGAACCCGGTTCGTCTGATTGAAAGGCGAACGCTCTATCCCCTGAAACATCACGGCTCAAGCATAATTTTCGTAATTATTTTTGCAAATTATAATTAATATTCTCATTTCCATAACTTTCGTAATACTCTTCGCATAATTTTATTATCGTAATATAACCAAATGAAGTTCATGATCAATCAAAACACCAACTAATTCAAGATTAACTAAAGAATTCAAATTTTTACTGGAGCTCTATGCTGGAAGGCAATATTTTTCATATTTTCTAACCACTGCAAGAAGGAATTTATCCAATAATATCCTCATCCTGAATTTATTGCCAATCAAAGTTCTGACTACTATAAGATTAGTTTGAAAAGTAAAATTTCAACTGAAGTTCTGTATTAGATAACATTACGAGTTTCAATCGCTAAAAATAACCATTTCTGACAGCCAAAATTCGAATTTATCATTGATAGAAATTTCGACTACTTACGTGTCCTCTAAGTTTGATTATGTCCTCAACGCTGCAAGCAAAACTTTACGCCGAATACAACGCCAATCAGAATTTCCTATCGATATCTGACTAGCTAGGTTAATATATTCTCAATTAAAGCTTTTGTTAAATTATAATTTAAATTTTGACGATTTTACAATTTTACAAATTTACAAGCAAATTTACAGAACAAATTTACAAGCAAACAATTCAAAAGAAAAAGTAATAAAATAGAAAAAAGAATAAAAACTGCATATTTTTACAAGTAGAGTAAAAAGCAGAAAATAATTCTGTTTCTGACAGATCAAAAACGAAGAGCATAGAGCATACAAACTTGTATCACCCCTGAATGAATCTCCCCCACACTTCTACAGTTTTGGTTTTGACAAAAAACTTTTAATTTCTTCATTAATTCCATTCATAAGAGTATATTTTTATTCTAAAAAAACATTTTTATTTAGATATAAATAAATAAGCACTGAAATAGCACGAGAACTTTTATAAAATGTTAAAATCATTGTTATCAAAATCTAACGATTTATTGATGGTGTCAATCAATAAAAGTGGGAAAAAATCATCATAATCAGTTTCAATGATTATGATAATCACCATTCACTTTCATGATAGTCAATATGACTTTGATCTTTCAGATCATGCCATATTGAATAATTTGATTATGACATTTACAACTTCAACGGCAAATCTATTATTTTACATTAAAAAAGATAATTATCACATACAATGGGCATAATTTAAGAATATTTTAAAAATTTTTCTTAGAAAAGATCTCAACCGAACATTTGTGTTCTTCGAAGTAATAGTTTCAAACATTATTTAGATGTCATAAAAAACATTAAAACCAATTATTGTTTTTTTAAACCTTTCTCAGCTCGTTAAAATTAAAACTTTAAATTAATTAAAAGAATGCTCATTTTAAAATAGTTCTTACATATTATGCTTACTACATTTTAAGAATATTTTCAATATAAAAAAGACATGACTTGTAGACCATGTTATTGTCATATTAAGGGTCAAAACGCTTAGTCGCTATTTTGAAAGAAACATTAAAACCCATTGTTCTTATTTAAAATCCTCTTACAACTCTTCTAATTATAACATTTAAAAATTGTTTTTATTTTAAAATAGTCTTATTTATCTATTAGAAATAAGTAAGTTTGAATAAAAAATCCACATCAAAATAAACAGAAAATCTGATTTTATAAAATAACAAAGCTACCTCTTAATTCAATCGCAGCTAGTAGAAAATCTCCCGACAGCTTCCGTTTATAGCGACACCTTTTTTCTTAAATCTTTAAAAGGCTAGAAGAATTAAAAAATATATGTCATTGTCTTAAGCGATATGTTAAAAGGTGAATTAGATAAGATAAAGAAACTGCTTAACGTTATGTTTGCGTTATAAGGTTGATGGAATAAATAATTGTTTGTAAAGAAAAAAATGTTATCTAAAAAGATAAAACATGCTCATCTATTTAATTTTTTTCTTATATCTCATATATTTTTCGAAAGAATTGCGTACTTGTTTGCATGTAAGTTTAATCAAAGAAGAAATTCAATACAACAGCAAAAAATCCTTTTTTACTGTTATAAATTGATTTGGAAAGGCACTATTACTAAGAAGGAGTATAGAGAATAGTTTTTAAAGTTAAAATACGATGTTTGTTTAGTGCGCAAAAGGAAGGATGGCCTTGAACAATGTTTGATTTAATGATCAGATTTTCACGTTCTAGTACTCAATCTTAATGGTACGAAAAGGTGACCTCAAATATGTAGAGTTCCTAGGTTTGATCAGCGCCTTTCGAAGACTCCCCGTGTAGTAAATGGTGACTGATGCGCGTTAAATCTGTCTAGTTATGAAGTCCCTCATGTTCCCATAACAAGTCGATACCTCTGAGGATCCTGATTCAGGAACTTTCTTGTCTTCTGGATTGGTTCAAAATTACAAGGCTATGGAGTAAGCTACGGATATAAAATAATTAGTGTAGATCCGGGGTGGCTTAAGAGATAGGACATTCGCCTTTCAGTGAGGTGAATCGGGTACGAATTCCAGTGGTGGCTTATTGATACAAATTCTGCACTCTGCTTGCACCGACCACCATACTGACTTAAAATATAATTATTGGTAGACGGATCATGGGTTAGAATTCCCTTTTCCGTCATGCTAATCATGTGAGGTTTTCATGGTTTTCCTTTCCATGTAACGCTAATGAAGGTTAATTCCATCAAGAATTCCTTAACGAATAATATTTTTTCTCCAATACTTGATCCAGGAGTTCCCTTGCTTTCTGGAGCTTGGATTGAAAATTGCAAAGCTGCGAGGTTGAACATTAGTAGTCGTAAACTGAAAAAAATTTGGACGGCTGTTCAACTATGGTTGTAAAAATAAAAATAAAAATAGAAAAAATAGTTCAGGTCCGGGATAGCCAGCTTAGTAGGGCATTGGACTCGTGTACATGAGAACGGGAGTTTGAATAAAGCAGGCCGAAGAATCCCCCTGTATTAAATGGTGACAATAGATTATGCTTTTTATTACTGGAATATTTTTTTTACCAGAAATGTCATCACCATACACTACTCTGATTTTACCAGAAATTTATTTCTCTGCGTAAGCAAATAGTACATATATTATATACGCATGAAATAAAATTACTTAGACATGCTCTTATTTCACTAAAATAAGTCGAAGTAACAAAACACAGCTTAATTGCACACATTTCTGTTAATGTAAAATTTTGTTAGCAGCATATTTTTGTCTTCAGTATAATCTGAGAAAGAAATGCAAAATATACTATTTCTGCATCTTTTGATGGTCATGTGACCTACAGAAATATATGCCTGCTGTCAGAACCTTTCTGAATGTAAGTACCTCTTTTTGAAATCTTTTGACATGTGCGACACATGTCATTTTCTATAGTGAAGAAAGAAATCTCACGAGGAACACTTGTAAAACCTACGTGAAACTTATATGGTTGCAGGTGTCACTTTTTCACAAAAGAAAAAATAATAATGAAAAAATCTTTCAAGAAGTCTGATTTAAAAGGAAGAAAAGAAAAAATCCAAGCCAAAATCAGAAAAGAACTATCGTAATTTAGGTATAAATTTTTTGACGCAGATTGAAAGCCAGGGCTCTTTTTATGTATTTTTTTTCTGACGCTGAAAGTACAAGTAAAATGCATTTTTTTAATTTTAAAAAGTAGTCTAATAGTTGCAAAAATATCTGTTAGACATTTGAAATTATATTTTTACTAAGACATATAATAATAATATGATTTTTTTCCCTATATATTACAAGATATATCGATAATTGATTTAGTAAATTAAATAAATTTCAGTGATGAATAACTGTTTCACTTAGATATTTTCTTTTATTTCCAATGAGCTGCACAATCAGTCTTGCCGATGAGCAGAGCTAGTGCGTTCTCCAGAAGTGGTATCCACTCTTTCAGGACCACCACAATGGGTGATATACCATTGGTCATTTTAATTTGGACGTCTAGTTTCTGCCACACTAGATGGCAGCATCGAGACTATTTTGCCGGAAATGCCAATAGCCAATAAGGCACTCCAGGGATATTTTACATGCCGCATAATCATACGACATGGCCGGTGAGAATTTTCTGCATCCTGAAAATCCGGATTCTGGGCCGGGGATCGAACCCGCAGACTTGGGCTCAGAAGGCCGACGACACTTAGTTTCCCTTAGACATAAATTAATGAAAATAAGTGCAAATTGTATACGAGCCTTTTCATGAAGATTTTACCATAAACGCAGAAAAAGACACCACGTTTTATGCTGTCTTTCATTACAATAAATTTTTCACTTATTTTGTTCTTAAATAATACCAAATAATGAAAAAAGTTTGAAAAATTTGTTTAATAAAAATTCTGCATCAAGAGTTAAAGAATTTACTAATTCTATTTAAAAAAAAAGTTTAATGCTTAGTTAAATAATATTTTTTTTAAAAAGAATTGCCTATTACCTGTCATATTAAGTTTAAATAAAAATAAATTATTTTCTTTAATTTACTTTTTAGATCCTCTTGAGAAAAATATTTTTAGACATAAAGCCTCCTTAAAAGCCATTCATAGGACTCAGCAGTACTTATTTCCACGCTGCGTTTAGGACAGGAAATGAAAAATTCATTTTTCTATATGTGAGGCGTATTAAAGTGCTCTTAAAGAATTTTCAATGAAATCGTTGTAGGTCATAAAACAGTAATGAATTTTTATGGTCAATAGAGTTTTTATTGTATTTTATCTAATTCCATTTACTGCTTAAAAATACATTTTGAGCCACTTAAGCGAATAAAAATGCATCAAATGCATTTAAATACTATATTGAATTAAAAAGAGAAGTATTTTAGTACTCCTGCAAAATCACTTTATTTTGATCTTATAGTCGACTTTTAAATTTTACTTTTTAATGTAAATTCAATAGGTCTAAAGGAACTTTGATAGCCACCAGTATATTAAAAATAGTGTTAGTTCTTTTAAAGTATTTTTAATAAAAAATATCAAAATAAGTGCGTTTGAATGAGTTTTAAAATTACAAAAGTGCAATTATTAACTGAGTAACATTAATTTTGTAAGAATAGTGATAAGTATAGTAAAAAAATAAAAAGGAAAGTATCTAGATTAGTTATTATCCAATGATTAGTTTTTTTACTTATAAAGACTCAATATAATTAATATATATTATTTAGTTCTAGCTATTTAAGCGAAGAAAAACGGATCAAATGTTTTTGAATACCATGTTAAATTGTAAGAATATTTTAATTCTCTTTCAAAATCATTTTATTTTAACCCTATAGTTGAGTGCCCATTTGTTGCAAATTGAATAGATTTGAAGGGATTTCGATAACCAAAAGTATATTATATAAGTATTAGTTCCTTTTAAATTTTTTTTAATAAAAAATACAGAAAATATGCTTATATAAAATAAACGAAACTATGTTTTTCGTTTTCTTAACTATAGATTGAGCTATATTAAATTCATAAGGATAAAGACAATAACAGTGCTCAAAATAACAAAAGAAAAAATACCAATAATAATTTTTGAAGTAATGATCGGAATTTTTATGCATTAAAATTCGATATAATTAGATCGACAGTCTAACTTTTTAATTTTTAACTAATTAGCGAAGACTATATTTTGAGCTAAGAAATCATGCTCAATAAAATACTTTCACTGAATACGCATACTTTTATTTTGACTTATTCGAATTCTTGACTCTTAAAATGAAGAGGGTAGTCTCAATCTGGGAAATACAGTTCAGTAGTTTAAGCAGTTAAAAGTCCTGGCCCTTTACTGTTGTCACGATTTGCACCTAAAACAAGACACATTCCTGCATTTTTATTATTCAGCCACTAATCGATTGATTTCCATCACATTTTGGATTTTGCCATTTAAACCTAAATAGATAAAATACTGTGAAAATTTGTTTTTCTTCAATTTTAATTTATCTTTTCATTAAACTGATTTATAAAATTAAGGAATAATCACAAGGAATTAATTTTGCGTGGATTTAATTATCTTTGGGTAAGTACATTTTATGATCATACATAAAATTATTTTGATTCACTTAATTATTTCCGGAGATACAGCAAAATATACAAAAAGTGAAATTAACATTAAGGAGTCCAGACTTTCGGTCGTTCCCTTAGGCAGTAGCGCATAAGTAAAAATATAGGCAAGAAGGCTGTCTCTACATTCACTGTTAGAGTTTTAATTCTAAAATTATGGTAAAATAACCAGTAAAGATCATTTACCGGTTATTTTACCATAATTTTGTGCGGACAATTTTTACTTTTACGGTTTTGAAACGGTTTCAAAACCGTAAAAAAAGAAATGTAACTGAATATAGGAGCAAGGCTTTTCGCTCGATAATGGACAATGGACAGTGCAGGACACTGGAAATTCATCATGAGTTAAAGGAGAAAATACTGTGGCGTCGATGTTGGAACTCGAAACCCAGTTGTGTCGGTCATGAGACTGACAGATTAGCCCTGTCGCCTTTAATAAGTACCCACTACAAGAAACTAAGTTTTAGAATTTAGAAACAATTAAGTAAATTACTATTAAGTCAATTTTCTCAAAAAAATTTCGAACAGTGTATAATCATTCTTGAAAAAAGTACGATAAAAATACTAAAGCAGAGAAACATGGACTCATTCAAGATTCTTAATATTTATTTAACTTAACTATAATGTCAGTACTTTTTTCCATACTTTCAGTACTTTATTCTTTTAAACTATCAGTTCAAAGTTATATTTTATTTCTTATATATTCATATGTTAATATC